AATTCTTTGTCAGGTTGGGAAGGGAACATAATTCTAGAGTCAAGAGCCATTGATTAGTCTTTAATATACAAAGAGTATGGTCTTTAATAGTGACTTAGGTAAGAATTTGGTTTAATAAACAGCAAGAATAATGATGATAATTGCAACACCCCCGGGCTTACTAATGGTCACATTTTTACAGATATAAATGCTTTATCCCAGGTAAAATAATTTGTTAAAAAACAATTGACCTAAGGAGAATATAGGACTATAAAAATCTAGTCTGAGTTCACATATGCATGGGATATAAAAATAACTTTAGAGAAAAATAAAACTTCAAAGAGAAAGAAATGGACTCCAAGATGCAGGTAAGTATTTCTTAATTTCCAGAATTAGTGAGCTGGAAGTGTATCTAATATCTAGAATTGACAATCTAGGAGAGAAAATTATGTTAAAGATTAATGGGTGTTTCCATATCTCATTCCCTTCTTTTCCCAGTCCAATAACTTGAAATGTCCTAGCTAAATCTCTAAAGAATGGTACTTTTATTTCCCTCAGAGATCACAGAACCTAGCCTATTGATCTGATTTTTTGGAGTATAGGCCAGAACTAAAATTGTCTTTCTCTGTCAAAAAGCTTTATTTTCTCTCGCCTCAAAATTAAATTAAATAACACAATAACAAAAGGACTTGCAACTCAGTATCAAAAAAACAAAATTGCAGGCATGATAGTAATTATGCATTTCATATATAATGTTATGGAAACATTTTGAACAGTTGTCAAAAGTTGAGCCTCTAAATTAACTAAACAACTGAAATAAGATAGTTGACTAAGATGAAAAAATGGTTTGTATCAATTTTTTTACTTTTTCATTCGACTTTGTCTGAATGGCTAGTGCAAAGTTACAAATACCATGACAATATATCAGCCCCTACTTTTAGAACCTGAGAGGCTAACTTATTTTATTAATGAATAAATGTTGCAGGATCATATATTTAAGTGGCATATTTTGGTACATGACCACATTAACCAAATACTGGAAAAGATGGGCATGCTTATTTTCTATGATTTTCACATTGAAATGATAGAGTGGGTACATTTTTTCTTTTCACATAGACAAGTCAGGGATACACACACACACACACATACACACTTACATACATATATACACACATACACACGTTGAGAGAGAGAGAGAGAAATGAACAATTACTGAGCAGATCATTCTGATGACAAATGTGTGACTTTTTTTTTCTCTGTCAAAACCCCCACAAATTATAAGCTGCCCTAATAACAGTGTAGCACTTTATTATGCATTATAAGGATTAATACTTGCTCGGATCTAAATGAATAATTAGGAAATTTCAAGTCTCTGGGACACCTTGTTCACTTCCGTCCTCCATTAAGACTGTGGCTTGGGAGAAGCAGAAATTTCTGTAGAGTTTTAACCACAGAAATAATTGGATCAAAATGTTGTAAATACTTTTATTCGGTAACAAGATGGTTATTTGGAGCCAATGCTTTTCTCCCTGTTGACCTCTAGTTAACTAGTCTAGACTGAGTGTAACATCCAAAAACTATTTAATACCTGCTCCACAGAGGTGCCAGAATTATTTTTTTAAATAGCAAATCTGAACCGTGTAACACCTTCTACATTCAAAATACAATCCAAATAGTACAGCTCAGAAATCAACTCTTTTACAATGCAGGTTTTGTTATTTTCCCTTAAATTTATCCCACAAGTATTGACTTATTGTCTACTAGATACACTTACTGTGCTGTCCAGACCACTGATTTCTCCTTGTTCCGGAGACACTCTCTAAACTCTTCTTTGCTTGACCTGCTCACTTTGCCTGAAATGCAGTTGCTGCTAAACACCTGGCCAAATCCTGCCTTTCCAGGTTCACTTCAAATAGCAAGTCTTACTGCCAGCTGTATGCATTCAGGGCTCTGTGGTAAGCGATCTCTAGCACATCCTGCTTTCTCCCCTAAAATTGTTCTGTCTTAGGAGAGGACCATAGCCACAACTTTACTTGTTTGGATCACTCACTGCATTTAGCTGTTAGAACTGAAAAAAATCTTTAGAATACATTCACTTATTTGCCACATATAGTTTATTTATATCATTTGCCAAAAATAAAGTGATTTTGGAGCAGAGAACTGGATCAAGTGTTTACGGCCTGATTGCTTTGCCCTTCAGTGGTGGCTTTGGTAATGGATTCATGCCAAATCAGTCAAATTGCTGGGTTTGTAAAACAAGACCTCAGGAAAGGGGCAAGAGAAATAAGAGCATTTCATTACAGATGTTTTGATTTAATTTTCAAAGCAACACTATTGTTTTTATAACGTGATGTGATTACATATTTATGCTATTGAAATACAGTCCAAAAGCAATAATTTTTTAAAAAATGACAGTCACACTGCATATAGATTTTATAAAAGGCTATACATAAATTAACTAGGTTTACCGACTAATATTTGTGTTTAAAAGACATCAGTACAACTAGCTGAAAATTGACAAATATTATCACATCACATTTCTTTATTTGAAAGATGTTAAATATCAAAAACACTTTTCTATTTTTCTCCACTCCTGAGATTTGGTTGATTCATTTCACCTTATGCAGGGTAATGTGCTAAAGTACGTTCCTTTTTCTCCCGAGTCACCACCGTTTAATCACCTACTGGCAAGGTTCTGCTTTGTTTTAGCCTAGAGTAGTGATGGCAAGGCTTTCTGAGATTTCACTGATAACAAAAAGCTGGCTAAGGCACACATGCCTTAAGTCCACCACCACTGGCCCAGAGAGGGCTCCAGCCAACAGCATACGCCTTTCCCCTTAAGTTCTGGAATCCCCTTTGGCTGCCTTCATCTTTGGTACTAGCCTGGACCTTTAGGTGATACCTCCAGATCTTTGATGCTTGGACCTGTGACCTTTGGGGCACAGAGCAGGCCTTAGGTTTTCATAATTTGCTTTTTTCTGAGACCTAGTCTGTCTCAGATTTCTAGAATCTTCCCCTCACCTGCCAAACAGAAAGTATTCACAAGCCCAGAGGGCCTCTCAAATCTGCTTATAAAGAGAAATTTTATTCCTCTTAAAATACTTCCCAGAGCATTTTTCACCTGAAAAGGGGCAGGAGGGGAATAGAATGATTTTTTTTCTTCTTTTTTGTGTGTCCTTTCTCATGTAATGATGTCCTCTCTGGTGTATGAGACTAAATCCAGCTGAGACCCATTCAGTATTGAATAACTGAATAATTGAGAGGTGATAGATTTCTTTTATAGTTTTGAATCTACCAAATAGTTTAGGTACATACATATGTCTATAAATTATTCCATCATACTAAAAGTGATATTAATTGTCTTAAAGGTAAATGTTAACAATTGAAAGTTTAGTTTTAATATGCCATACAATTATATGGATTTGCATAAAGTAAGGGGTCAGTTTTTACTTCTCAAAAATGTATATGCAAAGAAGGATGAAGCAGGTGTTTGTGAAAATATTAAAGATATTTATTTATAAAAATAAATGATATAAGTCCAAAGTAGTACTATTTCAAGAGGCAAAAACAAAAACTCATAACTTCATCAAATCCATTCATTTCTCCCTTGATATTTTAAAATAAATAACTTCTACAAAGGGAGGCCATTAATCATTTTAGAGATATATTTACTATATGTCCAATCACTGAAAATGAATAGTTATAGATATCTCTAAGAAGATATATTATTGATGACATATTTTGGTGTCACATTTTACTGGTTCTGTTTTATGCTATTTGTATTATAAAATTTGTAGAAATTATCAACCCAAGTTAAAGGAAGAAAAACCACCACAAACTAAGGGAAAAGAGTTTAACATGATATAAATATTAGGCATATAACTTAGCCACTAATAATTAAAAGTTATTTAATGAGGTGCGGTTAGTAATTGTTCCTTATTGATACATTTCTCCAATTAACTGAGAAGTAAGCCAAGATAAAAGGAATAATTGGAAAAGTAGCATTTAATTCTGATTACATTGGAAAATGCAAGAAAGAGAGCCCTTCTTTACTCTTTTAGTAGTATGAATTTATCAAATTCCGAGGAGAGATGGGATCTTAGAAATTATCTGGTTCAAGTTTCTCACTTTACATCTGTAGGAGATTAGAGTCCCATCAAAGCAAATGACTAGGTTTTTGGTATGTATCTGATTAGGCACTGAGATGGGACTTGATCCGGAGAATTATTAAATTTGGGCTCAGGGAGTGTGTGTGTGTGTGTGTGTGTGTGTGTGTACCACACTATCTTTAAAGTAAAATCTATTACAACTCCAAAATAAGTTTAAATATTTGAGCTCACTATCCCTATGGTTTTCCAATGCTTCTCAAAAATGTTTAGGAAAGAATGGGTTTTTTATAAGTATGTAACAGCATTTTAAATTGGATTTTTAGACAAAACTGCATTTGTATCCAACTTTTATGCTAATAGAGAAGGAAGATTCAGCCCAAATCTCTCTGTCTCCCACTTCATTTGGTTGATTGCCACATAGGTAAGTCACATAAAAAGATTAAAAGGAAAAGATTTGGTAGATAAGAGATGTGAATGTTCATTCTAGGCTATGTGCATTTATGATGATGGGTTCCTGAATTAATCTCTATAGTTTGTGAGAAATAAATCTCCAAAAATTACTACTCCTTGAGTAGTACAAGCCAACTTATTTCACTGATATTGCTAATGATGCTTTAAAAAATACAGTGGCTATTTTATTTAAAAACATGAACACTGAGATACAATGTATGAATTTTGACAATATATTAAAATAAAGAAACTGGAGTCATATAATGATGGAGTCATATAATACCCCAGATTTCTTATTGGTGCTCTAAAAATATTTTTTAGTTTGATATAATATAAAGTAATGCAAGAAAGTAAATGTTTTAATCATGCAAATATTTTCTACTTTTTATAGATAAAAAGACTTTATAGTTATTTCAAAATTTCTAAAATTATTACTCAAAAAGTAAAAGTGTATAAACTTACGGCCCTGATGCTTTCAAAATGTCCGCCTTCTTTCTCAAAATCAATGGGCTGTCCTTTCAGTGTCCAGTAGAAATTGACATCCAAACTAACATCATGAATTGCTTTGCAATTAAGGACGATGCTTTCTCCCACTGTTAACTCTGTTCTTTTTGGAGTAAGTTCTATCCTTGTAGGTTCTGTGGAAGCAAAACATACATTATTGATATAATAATTAACATAATATAGTGTTTATCTTCATTCTGTGTCATTTTATTTATTTATTTGTTTGTGGTGCATGGGGATCGAACTCAGGACCTTCCACTTGTGATGCAGACAGCAACACCACTGAGCTAGATCCCCAGCCCCTATGTCATTTTAAATAACAGAGAAATGGGATGGGGATTTACTCAGTGGCACCAAGCCTGCCTCGCAAGTACAGCATTCTGAGTTTGAGCCCCAGTACCCCCCGCTAAAATAGAGAAAATAAGGAATCTATACTACTGTTCCAAATAAATGTACCAGATTTTTCACATTGTTAAATAATCTATTATTATGTGAAACAGTAGTTTTTTGGATGGTAGGATATTTTACTATGTTTTTGTAGAGGACTAATGATTTTAGAGTTCCTGTTCCTATTCAGAAGAGACAAAAACATAAAAAAATTAGACAACTAGAAACTACATCAATATTCTGGAGGAAAACATGAAAAAATGGCAGCTGCTGCCTCTCTAACATTCTTGAAGGACAATCAAGTAAATAAAAGGATTTTTACAGTGAACATGCTGCACATAAGAGAAGGAATTACATGGAACTAATTCTCTTCCTTAAGAGTTATAAGAGGCAATAAGGCAAGGCAAAATACCTCCTTCCAAATGACTATCTCACAAGGATAAGAATAAAATCCTACTGGGACACCAACTTGTACTATCTTTGCATAACTCAAAACTCTGAGTAGAACAGAAGTAGAAATGGCACCTTCTGGGTGGTTATAAAATATCACTTCTGATAGATTATAGTTGGGTTAATTGACCTATATAAAAATGAAAAAACAGTAAATTTTAAATGTTTCTTGAGGAAAAAAATTGTTCACCTAGTGATTCTATCAGATTTAGTTTTTTTCTGGGGTTATAGCAATTCTGAATAAATAAAGGCTAATACAGAAGTCTCAGGGTCAATAAGTGATAAATGATTGCAATATAATATGTTTTCTGGTGATAAAACATGATTTTGATTTTATATTTTTATTAGATTTCTGGGTATAGAAACCACAGGAAGATTGACATGGTAATTAAAAAGGTGCTTAACTTTATAATTTTACAAACATTAGAAAGAAAATAGGAGTCTGATAAAGTACCTTTCCTAACCATCTATCGAATGTTTTAATATCAAAAGACAATTCTAGGCCAAGAATGCCACTATAATGCTAGCACGGTACAGGCCACATACTCAGAAAGGCATTTTATTTTTTTTTCCTTTTTTTTTCTCATTGAGTTTATTGGTCATTTTAGGTAACAGTACAGTTACATTCATCATTGGGATCTTGTACTTTTACATGACAGGTCTTGGTTCTCATTTTTTCCCACATCCCTGCCCTCCCTTCACCCCCTTCTCCCTTCCCCATTTACAAACACTTTATTTCCCTTTTTCATTTTCTCGTATTTTTTCTTTTCCCTTATTCCCCTTCCCCTACCCTTCCCACTTTCCCTACACCTTTAGCCCCTTTCTTCCTATTTCATTTTAATTTGTGTTTCATCACAGAAGACATAGAATGATATGGTAAAATGTAGTTTAAACTTTGGGAGAATTGAAATGTTCTGAGAAAATACATATCATTTGTTTAACACATGACTGACAGAAAATATTGTTTGTTATTAAAAATCTGTGGTTTCAGCATTAACTTGTTAGGAAAAAATTTAGTACACATCAGGAATAAAATAATGAAAAATTGGGTTGGATCCTGATAATATATGATATAAATAAAAATACCTTTTAAATTACATTATTTCCTTCCCTTGAAATTTTACTCTTTTCTAAGTGCCCAGAGGGTTGGCTATTATAATTACATTTTCATTTCTAAGGACAGAGAAACTTGAATAGTTTCATATGTTTAAGTGTATAGGTTATTAGCATTAAGTACTTCACACTGTTGTGAATTATTGCTGCCATTCACCTCCACAACATTTTCCCTTTTGAAAGTAAAAATGCTCATATTTTTATGGACAAAGTATATTGGATTGTGTAATATATGCACAGTAAAATATTAGGATATAGTTCAATTGTGAAAAATATTGCTTTGTACACTGGAAAAATCCTGTCGCCTAAGATATACAAATTTTACTACTAAACAACATGTAGTTTCAAAAGAATATTCTTGGTTTGAAATCTAGTTTATTTAGAACTAGGAATGAATAAACATAGAAGCAGTGATATTATGTTAAAGGCACATACAGTTTCTGTTGAAGCAAACATCAATGAACAGCTCTGGCAATAATTTATGATGTGCACACTTCCACCACTCATTGATTTCCTCTGTGATACCTCCTCCTCCTCTTCTTTTCTTTTTGGTACCAGGAATCGAACTTGGTACCTTGCACTTGCGAGGTAGCGGTGGAAACACTAAGCTGGATTCCCAGCCCTACACCTCTCTTCTTGAAATCCCCAGTTCAAGTGCCAATAAAGGAGTACTCCTGACTGATGATAAAATTATTTTTGTTAGAGAAAAGATATTTTTTCTTTGGCTGTTGGGGATCCAACCTAAGATCCCCAACAAGCTATACACCTGCTCTCCCATGGAGAAACATCAGCAGCTCAGGTGGAGGAAAAGTAACTGAATACCCTGGGCGTACTCTAGCATTTTGAAACACTGAATAAAACTTTGAAAAACTTTTTTATTCTGTAAAAAAAATATTCAGAGCAATATATCAAAATTTCCATTAATAATCAGTTCCTTCTTTTTGATTCCTTTAAAGTTGGAAAAGAATAATTTGGCTGTTCTATATTTGTGATGCATTTTAGAGACAAGAGTATGCACACACATAAATGAAAACATGTATATGTGCCTATTTTATTTTCCTTCTGATAAAGCCATGAGGTTATGCTTACAAAACATTTAGCTACATTTTCTTACCTTTTACCGACACTGAAGCTACAATTTCGGCAGAACCAAAGATGTTTTCCCCTTTGCAAACGTACTTTCCCTCATCTGATTTAGATGCGTTTAGGATTCGTAGACTCCCATCTGGAAGAATAGCTATTCTGAAAATTATTAGAAAGGTGTTTTTTTTTCCATTTTACCACAAATAAATTAAACAATAAGAAACTCTGATGAGATCTGAAACCACTTCTATGGTAATATGATAAAGGATCACTGTGAAAATATGCAGGGACAGTAGAAACGTTTCACCCTAAAAATATTATTCACTTAATATATTCTTATATTCAAAAGAGTTAGGAAGCTACAGATCATTTCTTTTGATGTTTTTTGACAGTTAATTTCATAACTTGTGGGAAAGGGTGACCCTGAATTTGCTTATTATAACATTTTACTATACTATCATGTAGCAGTATTTTAATATTAAGCTTGAATATTTTACCTTAAACCAAGAGTGACCTCAAAAATCCAATAAAAACATGAGCAGCATAAAAACATAGAGGACAAGTACAGAACATACAGTTAATTGTATATGGCCAAGAGGAGATTTATAGCAATTTTTCTGTGCTGCCACTGGCACAGCAAGGGTAGGAAAAGTGACCTGGTACCTGGACTGCGCAAACCACGCTTCCTGAATGTAAGAATGTTATGCCTAAGTTTGCACTTGGGTTCTTCTGAGACCTTTATTAACGTGGGCCTTCAGTTTTATATAAAGGTGAAAAATTAAAGTATTATTAAAAATTATAGAAGTTCAGCAGAAATGAAGTTGGCACTTCAAATTACCATATTCTCCTGGGCATTTATCATTTCAGGAATTTATGGGTTTCAAATTCAATTAGTACATTGCTTCTCTTCCTCTACATGTTCTCCTCTTTCTCCTCCTCCTACCCCTCCCCCTCCTCCTCCTCCTTCTCCTTTAGTAACACCTGTTATTTGACCAGGGCAAAAACCTCCACAAGCAACCTGTTAACAGAAGCAACTGCTATGATTTTAGTAGACTTGTTATTAGGGCTTGAACTTACTTGTTTTCATAAAGAGGAAGTAGCAGACAGTGCTGCATAGGTTATGAACTAGTGACCTCACTGAGCTTAAAGCCCTAAAAATGAATCATTTTATTCCTGAGAATACTTTGTTATGGCAGTATGATAATATTACATATTTAAGATTCAAGAATAATGACTAAATCTGTTTAGTCAAGATTTTTCTATCTCATTTAAAAATGTATATTCAGTCTTGCCAATCACCCAAAGCTGATGGTTATTTAGAGCACTGAACTTCATAACAAGTGCTTTTAGATTCTAGACAGTTGAAATATTACTCATGAATTTATGCTGACATATTGCCATTAATAAAGATACGAGTTTAAAAACATCATATGGATTTCAATATGGATCAAACTTGATTTATAGTATGTAAGAAGGAAGATTAATTTAATAACAAGCCAAGCTAGGAATAGAGAAGTTGATTTTGTAGTCCATGTCTAGGAGAGATACTAGCTTGACCAACTTGGAAAACACATTGCCTATGAAAGCTATACAATCAATTTAAGACGGTCCATGAAAATTTTGTTCACTATTTAGATAATGATCATTTTATCATTGAGAGTAGAATGAGATTAATTTGATCTATTTCAACCTAGTGATACATATGATACAAAATTTATAATTTGAAAGCAAAAGCTGAATTATTTGTAAACAAATAGGCATCCTCTAATAAAAATTATAGACTACTAAATTATTTGAAGATTACTATCTTGAAAATATCTGGATTTTACTAACAAAATTTAATGTCTCAGGAGAGAAATTTGGATAAAAGTTCACCTTCTTTAAAGAAATAAGTATTGCACTGGGTGTCATGGCACACACCTGTAATCCCAGCACTTGGGAGGCTGAGGCAGGAAAATAGCCATGATTTCCAGGACAGCCTTGATTACCTAGTGAGTTCACAGCCAGCCTGAACTACATAGAGAGATCTTGTCTCAAAATAAAGCAAAGAAAAACAATAAATGTATCTTAGACCGGCAATATTTTCATTCTTGAGTTAAGTGCTTTTTTCACTGACAGGAAAAAACAGTCTGTGAACTCCTTTGTACTTTAGTCCACTGAGCCACTTGGTGGGATGAAGAATTTTAAATGCCATAATACTCATCTGTCAAGTATTGTCATTTAATCAAAACTTTCTTAGAAAAGACAATTAAGATTAGATAATGTGATTATGTCTCATTATTGCACATATACTTAGTAATTAAACATGGAACTAATATTTCATTGAGATTTTAGTCTCTTTAACAGTTCTACGCTTTATGTCTATAATAATTGTATATTCATAGTATGAGTCTTACTGTTTATTTTGCATGTACTTAGCCAACTGTACCATGCTTTCATTTCAAAAGGATTATTTGCTCTAGACGGATTGAGGCTCTCCTCAATTGAGTAATGATAGTCCTGTCCTCCTCGATGAGATCTTTGGGTGGTAATCAGGGCTTGAGGTTGGGCTCCCATGATAGGCTTAGTGGCCTTAGATGAAAAGAAATGAATTTGCTTTTCTCCTCTTTGCTCTCTTCCATGTGAAGATACAAGAAAATGTCTATCTTCAAACTAAGAAGGTGCCCTCACCAGAACTCTGTTGGATTTCCTAGCTTCCAGAACAGTGGGAAATAAATGATTAAGCTACTCAGGCTATGGTAATTTGTCATGACAGCCAAAACTAAGACACTCTTTTGTTTCCTTACCTCTGCATCGTTGTTGAAATTCAGTTGGACATATATGTATAAGTGAATTTCTTGGTTCTATTGTACTATTAATTATACTATAATTTCAAAATTATAATGTCTTTGTAAGACATTGATAGTGTTTTTCAATTTAGATATTAAATGTCCTGCTCAGATACATGTGTTAAATGTGTGGTTCTTTGGCCAGGTGTAGGGGCGCATGCCTGTAATCCCAGCCCTCGGAGGCTGAGGCAGGAGGATCACTGTGAGTTTGAGAACAGTTTGGGCTACATAGTGAGTTCCAGGTCAGTCTCAAATAATAGTGAGACCCTGTCTCAAAAAAACAAAGAAACAAACCAAAAAAATGTGTTGTTCTCAGGGTGGCACTGTGGGTAGGCTGTGGAAACTTTAAGAGGTGAGGCCTCATGGAAAGTCTTCAGGTAAATGTAGGTGTCCTCTTGCAGATTATTGTGGACTTGCACCCTCCTCATTCTTGTTTGTATCTTAGTTTTTTCTTTTCTTTTTTTTTTTTTTTTTTATAGCGGGCATTGAACTCAGGTCCTTACACTTGCAAGGCAGGCCACCGAACTGCTGAGCTAAATCCCCAGCCCTTGCATCTTAGTTTTACTCTGCTACAGGCTGCTGCAGTGACATCCTGCCTTGCTACAGGCTCAAAAGCAGCATATCCTACTGATCATGCACTGGAACCTCCAACATTGTGGGCAAAAAAGGAACTCTTCTAAGTTAATTATCTTAAGTGTTTTGTTATTCGCTATTACCCTGTATTTCAAATTTTTATTGCAAATCAAAAATATTATATGAGTGGCATCTTACAGCATGATTTTAAGGATCAGACTTTTCTATTAGTCAGATTAATTCCCTGGAGATTTATCCAAAGTACTGCTTATATCAGCAGTTTGTTTTAGTTGCTGAGTAGTATTCAATGGTATGGCTACAGCATATTTGCCTAACCAATTTACCTGTTGAAAGACATCTGGGGAAGTTTCACTTTTTGACATTATAGATAAAATTGGTATGATCATTCATATGCATATTTTTGCATGAATGTTGTTTCATGTCTTTGAAATAAATGCTGAAGTACAATTGCTAAGTCATGTAGTAATTTTATACACAGTTCTGCAAGAATTTTCAAAACTGTTTAGGGCAGATGTATCATATTACATTCATTACCCTCAATGTAATAATTTTTAAAAAATTTCAGACACTATTTTTACATCTCTTTGCAGAACATTCTGGTAATTTAAAACATATAAACAATGTGTAATAATCAAATAAGAGTGTGTCTATCTGTTCAGGCATTAATATTTTTTGTATGTTGTGAATTTTATATGCTATTATTCACTTTGAAATATCATTGATTGGTCTAACCAGTAGTTAGCATACTCAGTTGCACTAGAGAGAAACAGAAATGATTCTTCCTACCCTGCTATGGTTTGGTGCCTGCCCCTTACTTAATGTGACTCTCTGTCCACCTTTACTCTACCCTTGCCAGTATGGCAAATGCTAGCTATTCCACACCATTCTTATCTGAGATTGTTTTTTTAGCTTCTACATGTGGTATTTGTGTTTCTCTGCCTGTCTTATTTCATTTAATAGAATGACTTCCAGTTTCATCCATTTTTCTACAAATGGCATGATCCCATTCTTTGTTACTCCATTGTATATGAATATATAATATATATTGTTTTATTTTTATTATTTTATTAGTACATATTTATTTATTGATTGTTTCTTTTTATTTAGTTTATTGGTACAATTTAGGTATACAATACAATTACATTCATCATTGGGATCATGTACCTTTACATGACAGGTCTTGGTTCTCATTTTTTCCCCTTGTCCCTGCCCCCTTCACCCCTTATTTCCTTTCCCCTACCCTTACCACTTTTCCTACACCTTTAGCCCTTTTCTTCCTATTTCACATTGTTAATTATCTCATTAGGATCTTGTGTACTATTATAGTTTTTCACACCAGAGAAACTATTCAGTATTTACACATGTGTGACTTATTTATTTCACTTAGGAATATATCCTCAAAATGTATCCATTTCCTATGTATTAGTACATATTTATAATTCATGCAATTTACAATGACCTTACAGAAGGGTTACATTTGTATACTATAGCTTTTTTTAAATCCCCTCTGCTTCCCTTTCCGTCCTCCTCTGATTCTCTAATCACATTTTTCCATGCCTGCTGATGCCATTTTAGCACATGTTATGGTTTATAATACAGTGATTAGAGTTACTAGGTTCCTGTATATGGCATGTCTTTATCTCTCCCTTCCTCCTTACCTCTCTCCTTGTTCCCTTAGAGCGTATCACTGATGGGTAATTACATATTCCTTATCCATTCATCTACTGATGCACAACT